CGCTCCCGGCCCAGGCGACGCCTGCGTGCTGCCGGCCGTCCGAGGCCCCTGCCCCGGCCGCGAACCGCGCTGGGCCTACAGCCCGCTGCTGCGCCAGTGCCACCCGTTCGTCTTCGGTGGCTGCGAGGGGAACCGTAACAACTTCGAGAGTCGCGAGGCCTGCGAGGACGCCTGCCCTGTGCCGCGCACGCCACCCTGTCGCGCCTGCCGCCTCCGGAGCCGCCTGGCGCTGAGTCTGTGCCGCAGCGACTTTGCCATCGTGGGGCGGCTCACGGAAGTGCTGCAGGAGCCCGAGGCTGCCGGGGGTGGCGGCATCGCCCGCGTGGCCCTGGACGACGTGCTGAAGGACGACAAGATGGGCTTGCAGTTCTTGGGCACCAAGTACTTGGAGGTGACGCTGCTGGGTGTGGACTGGGCCTGCCCGTGCCCCAACGTGACAGCGGGTGATGGGCCGCTAGTCATCATGGGTGAGGTGCGCGACGGCGTGGCCCTTCTGGACGCCGGCAGCTATGTGCGCGCTGCCAGCGAGAAGCGGGTCCGGAAGATCGCCGAATTGATGGAGAAAAAGGCCTGTGAACTGCTCAACCGTTTCCAGGACTAAGCCGAGCCCGGCCGCCCCAAACCCCAGCCCTCGGCCTGCACCACAATGACGCTTTCTCTCCCCTCTTGGTCAATAAAAGGGTTCTTCTCAGATCTGATAGCCTAACCAAAGGGACCTCCCTGCTGAGCCATGACGCTCCTGATGGGAGCACGGGGGTTTGGGTGGGCTGCTGGCACCTCTCCACCATCCCTGTTAGGGGTCCTGCCACCAAACTGGGACTTTGGCTCGTGGCAGAGATCACTCCTAGCTTGACCCCACAGGACAGACCCTTCCTGTCGACCCTAAAGGGGTGTTTCCAGGAGGGGACACGTGGACAGGAATCCGGGGAGCAGGGTATGCTTTTATTCCGAGGCAGGTTGGGGCCACCAGCCAGGAGTCCCCAAGGCCCAGCCCATGGGGTGGCTGGTGGTCCAGGGATGAAGGGGTGTCAGAGAGAGGGGAGTCACTCTTTTCTGAAGATCAGGCACTTGTTGTTGGCTGGCATGTCCACCTGAGGGAAATGCTGGCTGGGAAGAGCTGCTGGGGTCCCCAAGACCCACCCGGGTCCCCAAGACCCACCCATACCCCGAGACCCTCTGCCCCTACCATCCTCTCCAGGAGCAGGCCGCTGGCCCGGCCCAGGTTCTCCAGGAGGGTTGTATCCCGCAGCCCCCACTCTGGGTTCCTGCAGGGGGAGGGCAAGAGAGTCACCATCTGGAGGTGCCCAGCCCTTCTCCCCACCCAGCCTTGCACAGAGGTCCCTGCCCACCAGCCTGACCTGCAGCGGAGGGTCAGGTCAAAGTCCACATTGCTCTGAGGAGAGATTGTCCCGTTGATGGCATATGGCTGCAGGAACAAGAGACAGCTCTGTTCCTGCTCACCCTGGGTCAGCCCTGGTTGGGGGTGGGGGGAGACTACTGCCATTCGCCGGTAGGGCACCAGGCCGACTTGGGGGTTGGGCGGACAGCCGAGGACCTGCTGGTGAACCAAGGGTGCCCCAGGCAGTTAGACTGTCTGGGACGGGGAGGGGAGGCTGCAGCTGAGAGGGCATGGGGTGCTTGGGTGGCCTGGGAGGGGACAGGAGTGACCGAAGTGAGAGTCCCTGCAGGGGGTGCTGCCGCGGCCAGGACAGGGAGGCTATGGTGCTGGGGTGTCCCCAGCTCAGGGGCCAGCTCAGCAGCAGGAGGACAGTGAGTGGGCAGTCGGTACTGAACCCAGAAAGGAACAGCATGAGAATGACAAGCTGGCCAGAGCCCAGCCCACACCCACCATCAGAGGTGGCCAGCATCTGCCCTTCGAGGGGCAGAGAATCATCTCTGGGGCCCTCTGTGGGGAGCGCTTACCCCATAGGTGATCAGCAGTGCCTTGGGCTTGAGCAGGTGTCCAGCAGCTCTGAACAGCCCCTGGGGAAGGGGAGGCAGACGGCAGTGAGGCGCCCTCCCAGGCCACCTGCCACGCGGGGCCCCAGGCGCCACCCCACAGACCTCAGTGCAGGTCACGGGGCTGATGTGGATTAGGTTGATGCAAAGCAGGAGGTCCAGAGATTGTGGCCCGATTCCGCCCCACTGCTCCCAGCCCCAAGACACGTCCAGGTACAGCGGGGCCTTCACGTTCGCCAGCCCCTGGGCCTGAGTGGTGGCCGAGATGCTGCGGGAGAGCAGTACGGTGGGCGTGGACCCCTTAGGCCCTCCTTCGGGGAGGCTCGGAGGCGAAAAGTCTCCTCTGGGGTCCCACGGTGGAGAGGGGACAGGGGAGGCCAGGTTGGGGCCACCCCGCAGCCTCGGGGCGCTCCGACTCCCTGGGCTGTCTAGGGTCCCTCCTTCCCGGCGCTTCGGCCCGGCCGCACCTGTCCAGACAGCGCTGGTCCACGTCCGACGGCTGCCACTCGGCATGGGGGAAGGCTCGTGCGAAGTGGGCCGCGTGCTGGCCGGAGCCCGAGGCCACCTCGAGCACGCGGACCCCGCGCTGTGCGGGGTCCACGTACTGCTGCAGCACCTGTAGTATAGGCTCCTTGTTGCGCTCGGCTGCCACCGCCCGCAGCATCGCGACACCCAGGACACCGCGCCCGGCCGCGGCGAGCTCCAGGAGCTGTAGTCCGGAAGCCGCGGGGAGTGCTGGGAGTTGTGTCCGGCGGCCTCGCCCCGCCCCTCCCCTCTGCCAGCCGGGTCGCCGAGAGCGGGTTCAAAGCACTACAACTCCCGGAAATCCGCGCGCTCACTAAAGACGTCACAGCCTCCCCAGGCGCAGCCGAGAGCGGCCAGGCTTGGACGGGACCCGCGCAGCGCGCTGGGCTCGCTGGTTTACAATCCCTCGGCTGTTCGCCAACGGCCAGCATATGTTTCACAACATCTTCGCGTCGCTGGAACTATCTTGATGTGCCTGGAGTCTCGCTTGCGTTGCACCGCAGGTGACGGCGACGGCCTCCCGCATGGCGGTGTAAAGGACAAAGCGTCCTTACTTCTGTTTTTTTTTTTTAAGCCTTCGCGTGCGATGAGCTGGAAGTTAGATTTTAAAACGGGAAGGGAATTAAAAGGCAGTGCGCCGCCCGGGAATCGAACCCGGGTCGCAAGAATGGGAATCTTGCATGATACCACTACACCAGCGGCGCTGTCTGAACGCTGCTGGTCTGCAAAATGTAGGAGATTGTGACGCATTTACCCCGCCTCCCCCATCCCCGCCGCGGGCCGGAGAGACCGTGCGCATGCGCTCCCCGCGCCGAGCGGAAACTGGAGCCCGCGGCCGCGTGAAGGCGGCCGGGTTCACCGGGACAGTGAGGCCTTCGCGGCGTTCGCCCCGGAGCCTGGCACTCGAGCGGAGTAAGTGGACAGGAGGGGAGTGGGTTTGAGGGCCGTCTTTGTTCGGACCTGCGCCCTGGAAACCCTGGCCTCCGCGCCATTCCAGGGCTGGAGGGGGCGGGGCTCCACCTGGGCGTGGCTTCGGGGCGGTCCCCGCCGGCAGGTTGGGGTTACCTGGCGGGAGTGGGAGGGAAACTCTGATGTTTGGGATTTCTGTTGACATGGAGTGACCAGGGACCAGCCCGGGGCCCGCGGAGAACATGAAGTATCCGTGGCCCCTGAAATCAAGTGGGCAACCAGGGCGTGGCTCCCCGGTTGCAGGACTGGGGTGGGGTCTCTGGCCCAGAGGGAGACCTCGCTCCTAGGCAGGGAGCTCCAGGAGGCGACGTGAGGTCTCCCGGCCTCGACTGCCCAGCGTGTGAGGGACATCTGGCTTCCTGGGCTTCACCTGGGACTTCCCAAATAGTCTCCCATGCTGCCATGTCTGTCACCCTGCGTCCAGTTTACCTGCAGGCCCGGAAGGAGTCAGAAACCGAGCCCAGCGCACATCAAGCGGCTGCGTATGTGATGACATGGACCCCTGGCTGGTGTTCATTCATTGCTCCGGGCTGGCCGGCCCCGGCACTTCTGAACACAGCAGGTGGTCAGGGTCCTTGCCTCCCACCGGCCTTTGCCGCAGTGAGTGAGCTTGCTGGAGTGCAGGTTTTTCTGGACAGAGTTGATTGAATGTGTGTCAGGCGCTGGCAGGGCTCCCGGACTCCCCGGGTTGCTGAGCTGGCCCTGTTGGAGTTCACGGCCCCTGCTGTCCTTGCTCCCGCCTTCGGTCAGTGGTGCCTCTGCAGTGGGCAGTCCTAGGTCTGTTGAGGTTGAATTACTGTTGGGGCCAGAAGTGCCCCTCCTGAGGGCAGGCCAGTCCTCCCTGTGCTCCACCTGAGGGGTTTATGTCCCACCATGTCAAAGCTAAGACCTGGTGGCACAGTGCCTAAAGCATCTGACTGCTGACCAGGTTAGTGGTTCAAAGCCACCCTCCACAGAAAGTGGAAGAAAGATGAGGCAATCTACTTCAGTAAGGGTTTACAACCTCGGAAACCTAATGGGGGTCACTATAAGTTGGAATTGACTCAATGGTAGTAAAGGTTTTTTTTTTCTTTTCTTTTCTTTTCCTTTGTTTTATGTCTATGCTAAGCTCTGGTGACACCATGCTGACTGGAAGGTTGGTGGTTCTAACCCTACCAGCCACTCCCTGGTAGGAAGATGGCAGCACAGTATACTCCCATAGATGCAAACCTCAGAAACCCAAAGGTGGTCTCTGTGAGTCGGAATCAACTTGATGGTGCTGTTTTTTGTTGTGGTGGTGGTGGTTTATTTATGTCAAAGCTACCTTCCCAACAAAGGCTATGTTGTTGTTGTTGTTGTTGTTGTGTGCCCTCCAGTCGGACCTGACTCCTAGTGAGTTCTCCTTGGGTTTCCGGGGCAGTATCACTACGGAAGTAGATTGCCCAACCTTCCTTCCGAGGAGTGGCTGGTGGGTTTGAACCTCTAGCCATCTGGTTAGCAGTCAAGTGCCTTAGGCACTACGCTACCAGAGCTCCTCCTAGGGCTGCTTAATCAACATACCTCCCCTCCCACCCCTGCCCGATGGGCTGGTCTGCTGCTGGGGCATGGGCGAATGATTCCCCATCCCTCTGCCAGGATAGTTGCACCTCTCTCTGGCCAGAGCCTCTGTTCACACCCCTGGGCCTCCAGGCCTTCCTCCAGCTGCACACTGAGACCTTGCAGGGGAGCAGCCCACCTGGAACCCCTTCTTCTGACCAGAAACCCAAGGGCCTGGTCCCACTTGCAGCCCCCAGAGCTACCAGGCCTTAAAAACCCACTTGTCTGCCTCTTTTCCAAGTGTCCCACCATTTCTCACACCTCCCCAAGAACCCAGCCCCCTGACAAACAGCTGACAGCTTCTCCCTTGGCGTCTGGACCCCTGCTCCCACCTCGGGTCCACGGCCCCTGAGCTTCCCTCCCAAGCTTCCTATCCCCTCACCCACTCCCCTCTCCCTGGATTCTGAGATTGGGCCCCAGCAGCCCCAGGACACTAGCGGAAGATGCTGGAGCATCTGACTGGAATGTTTCTGGAGTGGCCAGTCACCCCTCTGTCAGGGGGAACCAAGTCTTGGGTCTCCCAGAAGCTGGTCCTCCACCAGCCGAGCACCCTGGGTCCGCAAGGAACATTGATTTCTGTAACAAAAGTACTCTATTCATCGTGATGATGATGACTGGGATCTGGGAGGAAAAGGGAGCGGCTGGCCCTGGCAGAACTGCCCTTTCCAGCCGCCCCCAGGGGCTGGGGAAGAGGCCCTCACCCCTCTGACAACACAGGGTACTGCTGGTCACTCAGTCGTGCCTCTGGGGCAGCTTTACAGGAAAGACGCCATCATGGGCAGCGTCCTCCCGTCAGCAGGGTTGGCCCAGGCCCATGGGGCTGGAGGGCAGATCCGGCTGCCCAAGATTCCTGTTTGGCAGGAGAACTGGCCCTGCTGACCCTGTGGACCGAGCTGAGGTCATGTCATGGGGCTGCATTGGCAAGCCTGTCCCGACTTCTGACCTCGGGGGGCTCCTCTGGGCCCTCATCTGCCTTTGGGATGCCTTTGCCATGGGGGCTGACCAGGCGGGCACAGCTGGGTGCTGGGTCAAGGAGGCTGGGAAGGGCCTTCGATGGGCAGTGGGCCCAGCAGGTGCACAGGGGCCTGCCCACCCCTGCTCCCTGTCCCTCAGCCCACCCTCAGCCTCTTGGGCTATTTGCCCCCTGGTCCCCCTGCCTTGGCTCCAGCGTCTCTCAGGGACCCCCACGCCCTCCAGCTTGTCTTGTGGCCTTCCCTTCCAGGCTGTCACACAGTCCCTTGCCAACTCCTCCCCCCGAAGTCCTTTGAGGGGTTCAGGACTCAACCTTTGACCTCAGGGTTTCAGACAGGGTGTGTGGGGCGGGGCTAGGGTGTCCCCTCAGCCTCCAGTAAATACAGGGCTTGTCCGCTCACTGGACCAGGCAGCGTTTGGCCAAGGCCATCTTACCCCACTCCTCTGTGCACCCCCCACCCACCCTGTAACTGGAACTCGGCCCCTCCCCTTAGGCCACAGCCTCCCAGGCACTTTGCCCCCCCCTCCCCGCCCATCCCCTGGGTGGCACCTGTCTCTCTTTTGGGAGCAGGTGTGTGCGTGTTGGTCCCCGGTCTCCCTAGTGACTGATTGAGCAGGGGGATCTTCACAGGCAGCTTTGCATGCTCAAGGCCGCAGGGACAAGCAAGGGCTGACTGGGCAGATGACCAGGACGAAGCTGGCAGTGATGCTGGTGTGGGAAGGACAGACAGTGCAGGGGGAGGGGAGCCTTCCAGGCTGGGGGGCTGTGGTGCAGTGAATTCCTTGGCGTGGCTTTTCTAGCCCATCTTTCTAAGTGGGAGCACTGGATTACTGGGTGGGACCGTGCAAATAAGGTGTGTGGAATGGCTGATCTTAGGATTGGCTGGTTTTGTCACTGCCAGGCTTAAAATGAGCCCTCTTAGAGGCAGAGAGGGGATCTCACCGCCATCAAGAGAGAAGAGCTGGCGGTGAAGCAGTGTCCTTGGACCCGAGATCCCTGCACTGGACCCCCTTGGCAGAGAGGCCCAGCAGAGAGACAGAGTGGCGGGCTTCCCAGCCCACAGGATGAGGAGGCTGAGTGCCTTTGGGCAGGAGGCTTGCTGGTGGAGTGGGGGGCATCGAGGTGGACTTATCGGCAGAGCTAAAAGAGCGGTATAACTGAGCAGGGCAGAGGCCAGGCCAGAGGCCAAGGGCCAGAGAGGCGTGTTTGAGGGCACAGCAGAGGGGAGACTGTCCTGATCAAAGAATTGTATCCTGAGTGCATTCCTGAACCTGAATTGTAACCTGTTACTTCCCTAAATAAACCCCATAATTGTGAGTATTGTCTGAGTTCTGTGTGGCCATTGCAATGAATTATCGAACCCGGCAGAAAAGTAGTGAGTGCTGTGTGAGGGACAGTTGGTGTCAGAGTTGGTGAAAGGCTTGTGGGAAGCAGCACTGGCTGCCGACGGTGACCTGTCTTCCTCTTGTGAGGTCAGAGGGAGGGGCTCAGAAGATGCCGCCTCCACGCCCTTTTAGCAGAGGCATTACTCAGGCCCCGGTTCCCCAAACTTGTGCTGGTCCCAAGGTCACCAGCTCATAGCCTTGGACGTTCCCACTGGCCCTGCCCTCTCTGCAGAGGACCCTTCACCCCTCAGCCTTGGTGGGACAAGATGCCTGGTTTGGGGGCACCAGGAGGACAAGGGTAGGCCTGAGAGGACCCCATCCCTGGGCTTTCTCAAGGGTTCCTGAGAACATGCAGGGTTTTCTGCACATACTTAGGGTATGCAGCTCAGGGAGGGAGGCAGCGAGTGAGGTCACCCCTCCCCACACCTCACCCCTCTCCAGTTGGACATTTTGTTCCTCACCCGGACATTTAGAAAGAAAACCTGTGTCCTGACCCCCTGAAAGGCCTGCTTCTGCTACTGCCCGCCTCCCAAGTGCCCTGGAATCTTCCACAGAGGGCGGGGGCGAGCCTGCTCCCCCCTCAGGTTGATGTCCCCAGGCCCTGGTACAGACCAGCCTCCTCAGATATTTGCTGCCTGAGTGCAGGAGCTGCAGGGCCGATGGGGTATCATAAGCCTGGGCAGACCGCATTTGGCTTCTTGGGTGGAAAGGGGGGGTGTCCTCATTTTAACCCAAGCGACTGACCTCCCCCAAATGCAGGACAAGGTGGGGTGCCCCCAGGTGGGGCTGCCCAGAGCCTGGGTCCTCTGGAGCATGGCACCCACTGGCCACTGTGCCCACTCCCACCCGCCCCAGCAGGAGGTGGGGAGATCCTGGTGTCTGAGCAGGCCACGTGCTCGGAGGGGCAGAGCCCTGGACTGGTCAGTGGCAGGGGGCACTCTGGGCCTCCTCACCCCTCCCCTGCCTCCCCAGTCCTGGGCAGCCCTTCCTGAGTCGGTGGGTTCCTGGGAGGTCACAGAGCAAGGTGTGAGACTCAGCTGTGACTGACCACGTTGGCTGGAGGACAACTGCTGTCCCAGGATGCACCGGAGAGAGGCCTTCCTCCCTATCCTCTGTGTCCTCCAGGACCCCTGACATCTTGGATCAGCCCCTCCCGGAGCTGGTGGGTGCACCCCTCTGGGGGTTCTGGAGGGAGCCTCTCTGGACACTGCTGCTCTGCCCAAATCCAGGGGCTGCCCCTGCCCCCCTTTCTTTTTCTTGGTCCTGAGACTCAGGCCAAGGGTGACACTCACACTGGCCCAGGCAGCCTGGCCAAGGGTCTCCAGCTGTGAGGGGGTGGAATATGGGCCCCGTGCCTCTGCATGCCGGGGTTCCAGGACTGCCCCGCCCACAATCTGGGCTGCAGCGGCTCACCTGTTCCCCAGGCAGGGACACTGCCCCCAGGCCTGGGGAAGCTGGTCAGGCGCCAGCCAGGGCCCTGCATCTGCCTTGCTCTTGGGCCGCATGGGGTGCGAGACGTTGTCGCCTGGAGGCCACAGGTCCCGCCTGCCTCGCCCCCGCCGGTACGCCTCCCAGCCTCCCAGGCGGGTGCGGGCTCTTTAAGGGCCGGGGGCGTGTAACGGGACCGCCCCCCGCCAGCCCGGCCTCCCCGTTAAAGGGGCCGCGCCCTCCGCGCCCGCCAGGAGCTGCCCCGGGGAGGGCGCTGGAGTCTGGCTGCGGGCCGGCGGGCTGCGAGCCGGGCGTGAGTCCGAGCAAGCGCGCGTGGGCCCGGGGCCGCGGCCCCTCGGCGTGGGAGCCGGACGCACCATGTACACGATTACCAAGGGGCCCAGCAAGCTCGTGGCGCAGCGCCGCACGGGTGCGCACCGGGCGGCCGGGGTCCGCGCGCTACAGG